ACACAGATAAGGTCCTCAGAGTAGGACCCCATCCTGATTCCTAGTGTCATGTAAGAAAAAGGTAAGCTGGGATTGGTGGTGCATGCCTGGAATCCCAGTACTCTGGAGGCCAAAGCAGGACAATCACCATGAGTTTGAGGCCAGTCAGGGCTACACAGTGAGCTCAAGGCCAACCTGAACTACACAGTGAGGGCCTGTCTTTAAAAACAAAAAAAAAAAGTTGAAGAAGAAGAAAAGAAGGAGGAGGCGGAGAAAGTGACAGTGAGAGACCAGAGGGACACACATGCTTCTGTCCCTGGCCATGTGAAGCCCTGTACCATCTCAGGACTCTGCCAGCAAAATGTCTGTCACCAGATATGGCCCCTTGCCTTTCAACCAGAATTGTGAGCTAAAACAAACCCCACTTCTGCATAAACTCATCCTCCCTCTGGTATTTTGTTACAACACAAAACAGATTAATCCTCAGGGCTGCAGGTAGAAGCTGGAGGAGGGGACATTAGTGGCCTCAGAAAGGATCCTTGTCCCTGGGGACAAAAGGCCTAACAGGACCACCACAATCTAAGGCACCACAGCCAGGTGTCTGGGTGCTGTGGGGGGCTGGCCTGGTGCCATCAGTGTTCTGGGACTGGCAGCATTGGCATCACCTGGGAACCTGTCACAAATGCAAGTGGCCGGCCTTGTGGACCAGCAGAACAGCTGAGTGGGAAGCTTGCTCAGGGACCACTCTGAGTGGGCAGCTCCTCCCTTGTGAGAACAAGGCTCTGCACGACGGGTCACCTGGGTTTGCCTTTCAACACCGATGCTAAGGCCCCACCCCCAGGGATTTGGGTGCGAGGGCGTTTTGTAAGGTTCCCAGGTGATGGTAAAATCCAGCAGGGAGACGGACAGTGCCCTGGGCCCCTGGAAAGCGGTGCCTCAATGAAAAGGCTGGGAGAGGGAGGAGGAGGAAGGCCATACAGAAGGCATCTGCACGCAGGGGCCAGGAGGGGAATGTGGCCAAGGGGTGGCTGGGCCTCCAGGGTTAGTCACACTTCACGTCCCCCGCCGCCGGGACCTCGGCCATCTGCAGAACAGCAATAGAGTGCCCCAAGAAAGCGGAACAGGGCATGAAGATGGCTGGGCAGGTTTTCTCCTCCTCGTGCCCAGAGCCAGGGCAGAGAGTTGGGGTCGTGACCCTGGGCGCCGCTCCTGCCCCTCTCTGCTGCCCTCTGATCTCACCCACAGCCCCGGCCACGCACAGCAAAGCATTTCCTGTGGGTGAGATAAGCCTGGGATCCTCCCCTATCGCAGAGATGCTATCTGCCCGCTGACATCACAGCTAAGAAGATGGTATCTATTGCTGGCGCAGCGGGGAGGAGGGATGGGACAGCCACAGCTGGGAGGGAGCGGCAAGCAGCCAGGCCAGATGCTCCCCAAGGAAAGCCAGGGCCGGGGTGGGGGCAGTGGAGACACCACCAAGAGCCCCGAGCTAGCTTGTTACACACAGAGACCCGGCCGGGTAGGGTGGCAGTTGAGTGGTGAGGACTTCAGCCGCCGAGTCTGCAAAGCCAGGTGGAAGGCGCTGCACATGAGGACCTCAGACACCTGGGGAGGCCAGCTCGAGCCCCAGATCTTTATTCCTTTTCTCCCTGACAACGGGAAATAGGGACATGAATGCTGCATTACTCTCACAGCTTCGTGTGCTTCCATGTGTGCACACACTTGGCCCTCGCTGCAGCGCCACTAGGTAGGCGCCACGATGATCTGAACTTTGTAGGTGTGGAAACTGAGGCACTGGGCTGAGCAGCTTACCCAGGGTCACACAGGGCTGAGTGGCAGAGCCGGGATTCCAAGCAGCCTGACCCCAAAACCCTAGGTGACTGGGTTACACTTAGCCTGGGGCTTGGTACATGGGCTGAGGTTCTGTCCCGAGAAAGACTGCCCAGCAGCTTTGGCAAGGCAGCCTTCAGCTAAAGACACATAGACTCCAGCAGCCCCTCAGGTACCCCGACCCACATCTTTCCCACCCTGAAGCCTAGAGCTGTCCTGGTGCCCCAGGCAAAGGTCAGCAGAAGGTCGGCATTGGAGGGGACCCCACAGATGACCAGGGTTCACAGACACGGAAGCTGAGCCCGAGCTGAGGGGACCCGTCCAGCCACACAGCCGGTCCAGGCAGCATGCAGCCCTTATGACTTTGCTGGTCCCCTTTTGACCCAAAGATGCCACATCGGAGTAAGCAAGTGCCTACTGCAGCATCACTGTGGGGACCAGGCGGCGGGAACATGGCACAGACCCAGGCTGTCAGCAAGGGATGCTCCTGCCCTCCTGGGCTGTCTGGGTCTCCAAAGAGGCCCTGAAATATGTGAACACAGCTCCTCCCCTGGCCAGGCGGGACAGGCTCTCACCAGGCCCTTTGGTCCTCTGTGGCAGCAGCTGCAAAGAGAGGCCAGGAGCCAGGTGTAGCCCTGGACAGAGAAAAGGTCCCACACCCACCCCTAGAAGAGCTCCTGGTGAGGCCTGCAGGGGTCCTTGCTAGGGATTAAGGACAGGACTCTGAAGTGGGCTGGACTTGGGTTAAAATCCCAACCCTGCCACTTCCAGGCTGTGTGGATGGGTATCACCAAAGCAATAATTCCTATCTCAATTTAAAGAGTTAACACACAATCAGGGCTGGCAGCTATTGTTTGTAAGTATATTTTATTGTTGTATGTTCTAGGGTAGCATACAGACAAGAATGTTCTGTTAACACATCGATCTACACAATTCATCTGCACAGAGAGACGTAGGTATTGATCATCTCCTAACCGAACAGCCCAACTCGCTCCAACAACACGGACCCCACAGAGCACCACCACGGTCACCACATACCTGGCACTGCCTGAACTTAATCCTCACCCAGGCCTGGGAGACAAACATCCTCTACTCCCTCCTTCCAGGCAGGACACAGTCCCCGAAGTAGGGCCCACTGTCCTTTGGCACGCTGACATCTCTGTGGCTCCAGAGCCTGAACTCCGTCCCTGGCCCCGCCAGAGGAGGCCAACCCAGTGCCCACTGTCACCTCCAGGGCAGCCCCCGAAGGCCCCAAGCGCTGACTGCCCTCCATTCCCAGGACAAAGGCCCAACCTGGCCTCCATGCCAGCTGCATTGGGGAAACCCCTGCTGCCTATAGAAACCAGTTGACTTTGAAAAGGAAGAGACAGAAGCCAGGGGCGGCTGGGCCACTCCCTTTGGGGGCAGGTGCTAAGTAACTCTATAAATTCTGGCTAATAATGCAATTAGGGTCATAAACCGGGCCCCAGGAGGGACCAGGGCCAGGAGCAAGACCCTCCAGGGACAGCCAGGCCCAGGCTTCCTGGAAACAGGCTGAGGGGGGTGGCTGGGTCCCACCTGCCCTGGCCTCCAGCCATCAGCCCTCCAAAGCCCAGTCAGCTCTCGTAGGATTCAGGGCTCACCTGAGCTGTACCCAGTTCCATTCCCGGACCCCTCCCATGGGACCTGAACCAAGACTCGGGTCTGCATTTGACTCCAACTCACAGGTCTGGTTAGGGACAAAATAGCCGGCAGCTGTCAACAGGCCATGTACACTAAACAGCGCTGGCTGCCCTCAGAGAAGCAGCGCACACACCCCAAACAGCCGGCCCTGTCCCCGAGTCCCAACTCTCCTGCCCTAGCAGCGTGGAGGATGCAGAAAGAGGGCGCCCAGTGAGTTGCTAGCTTCCCCCAGGGCTGGGGAGACTGAGGCATGGGAGCGCTTGGACTACCAGGCAGCCCACCCTCCCTTTTCACGCCTTCCTGGGCCAGTAACCCAGGCTGGCTGTCATTCCGCAGAAGAGGTCCCCCAGGGCAGGGCCCGGGGCTGCGTCCCGCCCTGACCCTGAGCCTGTCTCCAGGGACTGGGTGAAGGAGCCCGGCCTGCGCCCTTCCGCCCTGGAGGAAAGCAGGGCCTGCCCCTCCTCACCCCAACAACCCGAGAGTGTGGGGCCTGCCTCGGTGGAATCTGGCCGGGCGGGTACAGGGGCCCGGGGCCACGACCCAGAGGCCGTGTCCCCGGCTGGATGGAGCGCCCTCTATGGAGGGGAAGCCGGCGGTCAAGAGCCCACACTTCCCAGGGAGCGAGCGCCACGCCAGAGCGCAGCGCTCAAGTTCAGTCCAGAAACTGTCGGCGTGGAACCAAGGCCGGCACAGACCGGCGCGAGGACGGCTGGGCTCCGGCAGGGCGGGCGGGGCCTGGGCAGGGCAGGGCAGGGCGGGCGCAGACGGGCCGCGCCCGGGGCCCCCCTTCCTCTGGGGGCGCGCAGGGCGGCGGCGGCGCGAACCTGCCCGCGCAGCCCGGGGCGGCTCGGGGTAGCCGTGCGTAAATCCCAGCCCGGGCGGGGTAGGGGAGGCGGCCGGATTCCGGAGAGGAACCGTAGCGCTGGCGAGGGCTGCGGGGTCGGAGCGGGGCCAGGGAGGGGGCCCGGGAGGGGCCCGGGGTGACGGCGCGGCTCGGGCCCGAGAGGGGGCGCACTCTCGTGGACTCGGGGCCGAGGTGGGGGGGGGGGGGGGGCTGTGAGCCCCGACGGAAGCCAGAAAAGGGGCGCGCCAGGGTGCGCTCCGGGGCCGGGGTTCCCGAGGTCGCGGGGTCCTGAAGGGGAGAAAAGTCCGCGCGGGGACGCCGGGGACACGGGTGGGGGCGCCTCTCAGAGTCGGGCAGGAGGGGTCCCCAGCCCGCCCCGGGGCGTGGCCGCCCGTCCGAGCCCCGCGGCCCGCGCGCTCCCTGTCCCCTCCCACGCACCGCCCTCGCGGGTTACATAAGGGCGCGCGGCCGCCCCCGGCCCGGCCTGGCCCGCAGGGGGAGGACGCGGAGAGGGACGGGGAGGAGAGGGAGGAGGGTCGTGCGGGCCGAGCGGATGCGGGGCCCCGACGCGCTCCGCGCCCCTCTCCACTCGCACCCCCGCACCTGTCCCCGGAGCTCCGTGTGGTGGCTGGGCCCGGCGTCGGGGGTCCTGGGCCCAGCGCGCGCCCTGGCCCGGCCGGCTCACCTCGCTCTGAAGGTCAATCCGTCCGCCGCCTGCGCCCCGCGGTTCCGGCAACTTGTCCCAAGTTCGGGTGCCCGACCCGCAAACTGCGCGCGCCGCCGGCTCCTGGGCTCCTGGGGCTCCACGCCACCGGAGAGGCCCAAGCCCTCCCGCACGCCCTTCCCGCTGCCGTCGGCGGCGCCGCTCCCTGCGTCCCGCCTGCGGCCGCCGCCTCCGCTGTCACCGAGCCCCGCGCCCGGCGCCCGGCCTCCGGCTGTCACTCCGCGCCCACTTCCCGCCGCGCCCGGCAGAGGGCAGCACCCGCCCAGCAGCCCGCTCCGCCCACTGCCGCGGGGCCGGCTGGGAAGCGTAGTTCTTGTCACCCTGGGCTAAGCACGCCGGGATTTGTAGTCCTACCCCTTGGGCCACGCGCTACAGAGCCTCTGTATTTGTATCTGACCTAGGAAGCGCTGTTCCACCTCTGCCCCTGTACACGTTTTCTCTCCTCCCATTCATTGACGTCCTGAATCAGGACTGTTACCTCCTGTGGCCTGCCTGAGGCCCTAGGAGGGACTTGCATGCCTCAGGCTGTTTTTCCAGCAATGAATGAGGAATGAGGTAGGGTCCCAGTGAATGTACTGTTGCCATAGAAACCGCTCTGGTAAAGCCCAGTTTCTCCCTTGGTTTGAAGAGAGGTGCCCTTTATCCCCTCCCCTGAGTATAAGAGATCAGATTGTGAAATATGAGTGCAGATGGAACCTCCCCCGCAGCACAGGCCCTGCTGTGGGGTCTTCCTTGACACACCCTCATCTGGCAGAGCTAACTGGTGGCCCGCTACCGTGTTGCTGGTCTGAATTTTTCTGGTCTACTTTTGTGTCACCTTCCCCTGTTGGAAGTTAAGGGTGCTAAACCATCGTCTTCACTTTCTGTTCCCTCCTCTTCGCCTTCCCTCTCCCTCTCCTCCTCTTCCTCTTCCTCCTTCTCCCCACATCACGTCGCCCAGGTTTCTGAGGCTCTGCTGGGAAGCTCCTAAGGAGAGCCAGAGCAGTATTCTTGCTGAGTTGGTTAGAGCAAGAGAGTTCCTCATGAATGCAAATAGCACTCCCCCCCCTTCTCTCCCTCCCTCCCTCTCTCTCTCTTGCCCATAGTTGAGGGCCAGATCTTCTTCAAATATAAGTGCTAGGACTTAAGGGTGTCTGGGTCAAAGTGCCATCAGCCTGCCTCGGCCCCGGCCTTCCGAAGCCCTCCTGGAAATTGATTCTAGCAACATCTTTCCTCCTCAATGACCCTGTGACTGTGACAAGCACACATAGGCACATAGCATTCTTCAGCAAATTCCAGCCAAAATTGATTAATACTGAGGAAACAGACTCCTAGATCAGGGCTGCATCAGACCCCAGTCATGCTGCTAGTGGACACACAAGTGGTCCTGATAGAGTCTGGAGGAGTCTGGCAGAGCAGCTGGGCAGAGCATTTCCATTAGATAGGGTCACTTCCCCACCACAAGGGCCTGCCATCTGTGCCGTTACCCCTGTCTTCCCTTTCCAAAGGGAAGCTGGGAGCACACTCCAAGCTCTGAGGGGTACAGGGCCTTTCCCCACACTGTGCCCATTTCTCCTAGAATCCATGACCCGCCAGGGAACACCCCACTCCACCCTCCCCGTCAAGTGGCTCACAGCAAGATTTGCCCTGACCCCGCTGGCCCTGTCCCCAGAACCAATCTGCCTTCCAGCCCCCAGCTCCCCTCCAAAAACAACATGCTGGCCAACGTGGAAAACTATTTATTATCAGAGAAACTCCAGGATCCAGAAAAGGGGGACTGGACCCAGGAAGGGAAGCACAGAGAACTCCGAACAAGCTAGGGGCCCAAGGAGGAAGGGGTCCAGGGTGCAGGTGGCTCATCTAGATGGCAGGGGCAAAGCCCACCCTGTTGTTGCCCAAGTCAAAGACGGAGTAGTAGGACCTCAGGAAGACATCCCCGAGGATCCAGAGGGGCTGGCTGCTCTCCGAGTACAGGTAGGTGGCGGAGAGCCCCACCATGCAGTACTGGTCCTCCTGTTCAACAGAAAGACGTTCTTGGTCACTGGCTGCACCTGCCAGAGCCCTGGCTGGGGGCAGATTTGTCCCGTAGGTGCTCCAGGGCTGCAGTGACCCTCAGCCACTCCCCACGGGGGAAACTTCTCTTCCCCTGGGTCCCCTCCTGCTCCTGGTTTGCAGTGGCTCAGCCTGGCGGTTAAGCCTGGAGCCAGACACTTGGCCCTGTGTCTGCTTGGCTCAGTTACTTAATGTCTCTGAACCCCCAGGATTTCATCTGCACCCTCCTTCTGCCCTGGCTGCAAGGACCAGGACTTACTTGGAGGATGTAGGCCGAGGGCAGCAGAGGAAACTTCACGCCACTGAGGATGACAGTCAGAGTGGGGAGGCTCTGGATGCTGTTACAGTCCACTACATACTGCAGGGAGCAACAGGCCCAGGTCACTTCCCAGACCCCCAGAGACCGCCCACCAAGCCCAGTTCAGCACCCCAGCCCCGCCAGAGCCCCAAGCCTGCATGTGGTCTGAGGGTGCGGCTCCGAGGACAATCCTACATAGATAGCCCGGATCACACTCGCAGGGTCAGGTAAAGGGTTTGGAATTAGGGGAGACCTAAGAATCTTCCCCACCCTGAAAATGTTCCCCTCTGAGAGGCCGAATCACTGCCTTTTCTCTCCAAATGTCCTTTAAAAGTGCAGATCTGGGGCCAGGGATGTAGCTCAGCGGCACAGCACCTGCCTGGTAAGCCCAAGGCCCTGAGTTTGATTCCTCATACGAAAAAATTAAAAAGTACACATCTGAACCTGGTATGGTGGCATATGCTATAATCCCAGCACTTGGGAGGCTGAGCCAGGAGGATCACTATGAGTTTGAGGCCAGCCTGGGATACAGAGTAAGTTCAAGGCCAGGCTGGACTACATAGTGAGATCCTGTCTCAAAAACAAACAAAACAAAGCACTGTACAGATCTAAGCTGGATGTGGTGGTGCACATCTGTAATCCCAGCACTCAGGAGGCTGAGGCAGGAGAATAGCCAGCTTGAGCTATATAGTCAGTTCAAGGATAGCCTTAACTATATAGCGTGACTGTTTTTAAAAATTATTTTTTAAAAAATATAGATCTGGGGGCCAGGGATTTAGCTCAGTGGTTCTGCTGCCTGCCTCAAAAGCACAAGGTCTCAAGTTCATCCCCAGTACCAAAAAAAACAAACAAACAAAAAATACAGATCTGGAAAAAAAATACAGATCCGTAGAGAAAGTGGTCCGTTGGTCCCCTAAAGTGGGTGGGGATGGACTAATGGAACAGATGCTCAGCAGGGCTCAGGGGGCAGACATGGGCCTATGGAAGTAGAGGAGGGACGTGTTAAGGGGTGTCCTGCATCACTCACCTCCTGGGCCCCACATTTCTGCTACTTTGCTCTCACCCCAAAGCCCAGCAAGCATTCATTCAGTGCAGAGGAAAATCTTGCCCTGCAGGAGCCCCTCGCACCCCAATACCACCATCTGCCCCACTCCACAGGGACCTTGGCATCCCAGGTCCCCCACCTCCAGAGCCATGAGCATCAGGACCACCGAGGCGAAGAGTGAGGCTGTTCTGATATCCCCAGGAGAAACCCCAAATGCCCCTGAGCCGCCCTCTCGGGGAACAGGTCACCCCTGGCCGCACCTCTCCGAACTCATTCTCCTGGGCCCCTATGGCCTGTATCAGGGTGGTCAGGTACTGCTGGGGCAAGGTGAGCAGGGAGGTGCCAGTGTCCACAATGCCCTGGCACCCCTGGGAGCACCAGCCCAAGGCCTGGTTATCAAGCTGCACACTGGATGGAGAGAAGACACAACATCAGGCCCCACCTGTCAGGGCATCCCAACACCAAGCCACAGAGCCAGGCCCATCAGGGGCAGCCGAGGACCCTGCCCAGCCCGTCCAGCCAGCCCTGCCTCCCACTGTCCCGGAGGCTACCGAAGCCACCTAAATGGCCGCAAAAGTTAGTTCTCAAAAGTTTCATGAGGCAGGTGCAGTGAGGCACACGATGTCATCCCGGCATTCAGGAGGCTGGGGCAGGAGATTCACCTCAAGTTTGAGGTCATCCTGGGCTACATAGTGAGTTCAAAGCCAGACTGAACTATATACCGAGACCTTGTCTCCAAAGACCAAACAAAAAAGCCAAGAAACAAAAATAAACTTTTTTTTTTTTTTGTGGTCTCGGGGATCGAACTTGGGTCCTTGCGCTTGCGTAGCAAAAATAAGCTTTAAAGAAGACTCTAGCAAGACTGAAAGCCAGGGCCACTGATTCACTGTGAGACCTTTGAACAAATTAGCCCCCCACTCACAGCTTCTCACTTGTGGGGCCTGGTGCCCTGTCTGCCCCACGTCACCCTCACCCACCCCTGTCCTCCAGCTGGGCCCTGAGGCTCCCCAGCGGTCAGCTGGAGCCCCGGGAGGCCAGGCTTCCGTGTCCTCTGTGCCCCTGCCCCCAGCAGTGCCCAATGCCCACTGCAAGGATGACCCCGTCCCGGCCCTCCCAGACTCACTCTTCAATGCCGATCTGCCAGTAGAGTTCCTGAGTGACCGGCGTCCAGGAAATCTGCCCGTTGTACAGGCTTTCGTCCACACCGCCCAGGATGAGTGCGCCCCCGTCCGAAGAGCCCTGCTGGCTGCAGGGACAGAAAGGTCCGTCAGGGAGAGGCGGGACAGTCCCGGGGCAAGGAGTCAGGGCTCCTTCCAGGCTGCAGATGGGGCTCCCGGAGGTCAGACTGTGTCCCCCTCAGACTGGGGCTGCCTCTCTCCGGGGCTCTCAAGACCCCCAGTGCCTCAGGCTTCTGAATGTCACTGCCTCTGGAGGGGCTGCTCATCCTGGGGTCCCCACCCGACATCCTCTGCCTGTCACTTCCTGCTGCTCGTGAACCTGTTGCTGGGCCCTGGGCCACGCTCGTTGCTTCTGTACCGGAACTGGAGGGGAGGGAAAGCTTCCCGGGCAGCGCTCCTGCAGGCCAGGAGCAGAGTGATTGCAAACAGAGGCAGAAAGTAAGGCCGAGGTACTGGTGACAGGTGGCCGTGTCGAGAGTCCCCCCCAGGAGAGGAGGCCACAGCGTGAGGTGCCGTGGACTGTATGTAGCAGGTGGCTACTTTTAAGAGGAAGAAAGAAAGCAAGTCCCTTGGCACCGAGTGGCCAGGCCCGCCTGTGTTCACTGGTGCGGGTGACAGCTGGCAAGGGGTCAGTCCCAGCCTGGACCTGGAGACTCCAGGATGACTGGGAAGACATCAAAGGAGATGAAGCCGCAGATTACCACACAGAGAGGCACCGGCGGGGCACATCTCGGGAGCTGGCCCAAGGAGCGCTAGGAGCCAGAGCAGTTCAAAGTTCAGAGGAAGTGGGAGATGCTGCCCCGTTGTGGAGCTGGCCGGATGGCATGGGGTTTGGGTGGGGCCGGTTGAGAAACCCAGGCTGGGCTCACGTGCCACCTGCTTCGAGGCCTGGGTCTCCCAAGCCTGGTCCCTCACTTGTCCGGGGTGGCCGGGACGTGGGCCAGGGATGAGGGACACAGGGGAGCCACTCACCTGCCCAGGTAGACGCTGAAGAGGGGTTGGGAGAGGGCGCCTTCCCGGATCAGGCCCTGCAGAGCAGTGGTGGCGCCCCCCGCGGCCAGGCCGGGGTAGCCCAGGCCCATGATGCCATCGAACTGGGCGTAGACAAAGGTGGTGCCTGGCTCTTGCTCACTGAGGCCAAACTCCTGCTTGGGTACCTGGGTTCCTTGGATCTGGTGGTGGGGGCACACAATGGAGGAGGCGACAAGTCTGATGGCACCCACCTTTCCCGGCACATCTGCCAGGGCCCCTTCCAGGGCTGTTCTTCATCCTCCTCACTGCAGCTCCTCCCATTTGTTTGTTTGTTGTTTTGGTTTTTGAGACAGTGTCTCGCTATGTAGTTCAGGCTGGACTTGAACTCACTGTGCAGCCCAGGCTGGCCTTGAACTCACAGCGATCCTCCTGCCTCAGCCTCCAGAGTGCTGGCATTACAAGTATGTGCTATCATGCTCAACAGCCTCCACCCTTTTGTGACAGGTCTCATAGGGGCCCCTCTTCCAAGTGGCCTTCCCTGACTGCCCCAGTCCCACACCTCAATCTCCTTCCCCTCTGGATTCCCCAGATTCAAGCTCTTAAAGGAAAAGGACCACACTTTCTGGCTCCTTACGTTGTCCCCCTGGCCATGCACAGGGTGACCCTCAGAGTGTGAGAGCAGTGGCTAGATGTGGCCTTGCCATGCTGACTTCCTGTCCTCGCCATTCTAGGGGATCCTTGAGGACCCCATCCTATGCACACCCCTTTTGTACTCACAGTCATGGTGTCGTAGCCAAAGACGCCTGTGAGGCTGCCGCTGCCATACTGCAGGGAGAAGGACTGTCCAGTGGAGGTGTAGGTGGAGGACTTGCTGGGGTTGAAGCGGGGGTGAGTGGCTGTGGACAGCGGAGCGCGGAGCTCATGTTCTGGTGCTCAGGCCTTCGAGTGTCCCTTCCCTCTCCCCAGAACACCCTACCGGGCCACCAAGTTGGGGCAGCTGGGGCTCCCACATCGGATCAGGGACCAGGCCAGCTTACAGAGCGAGAGACGCCTGGGCTGTGGCCTCCCTGTGCGCTGGGTGGCCTGGACTCCATCCCTTTGTCCCTGGCCCCAGCTGACTCCTGAGCGACTGCACACACCATGAAGGGGTGAATGGGCCTCAGGATGTCCCCTCCCCCCTCCCCTGAACCCCCCAAGGGGCTGGGTCCCCTCATGGCATCGGCTGTGCCCGAGGAGGGACCCCTTGCATCGGAGATCTCAGAACCCAGACCCAAGGCCCATACTGGTCAGCGCTAGCACAAGTCCCCAGCCTCCCAGGAGTGGGTCCTCCCAGCACCCCACAGGGCACTCACTGCAGGCCAGGCTCTGGCAGTAGACAGATGGCACCCACAGGTTGGAGGAGCCAGTGTCAAACAGGACCTGGAAGCTCTGGGGTGGGGTCCCGAGGCTGATCTCACCAAAGTAGGCAGCCTGGGGGCCGTAGGGGGGCAGTCAGCTCCTGCTCTGCCAGCAGAGCAACAGCGGGACCAGGGCCATCCAGCACCCCGCACAGAACCCGGGTCCCGCCCAAGTCTCCCTGCACCCCATCCCAGAGGTGGCCACCAAGGTCTCTGGGGCCTTGGCCTCCCCTGCTGGCCCCACAAGCCTGAGGGAGGGAAGGCAGGGGCAGGGACACCACGGGAGGCTAAGGACTTACGTCCAGGTAGGACATGGGCTCAAACAGCACGCTGAAGTGGTCAAAGTTGTTGCTCAACTTCCGGATGTGGTCCTGCTTGTGGGTCTTCAGGAAGTCTCCCAGCAAGCCCTTGTCCCTCATGGTCTCACGGATGGACTTGAACTTCTTCAGGGGGATCCTGTGGCGGCCAAGCATCAGGGCAGTGTCCCCTCCCTGCCTCTCCTCGTCTCCTTCCTTTTCTCTCTGTCCAGCTCCAGCTGTGAGCTGCCACCTCCCTGACACTCTGTTCCCTGTAGTTGGGTGCCCCCTCCTCTGTCTCATCTGTGGTTCTCTTTCTTCCCCTCTCCTCCTGTTTGCAAAGCTCTTGTCAGCGCTTGCTCCAAGATTTAGAAAGCTATGTTCTCCTCCTGTGCCTGCCTCATCCCATCTCAAGCATCCTCCTGTTCTTAAATATTCCATAAATTCCTTCCCAGACAGGATTTTGGACATTCTGCTTTTCAAGATAAACACTTTTTTTTTTTTTGAAACAGAGCCTTGCTATGTTGCCCAAGCTGACCTCAAACTCATGGCAATCCTCCTGCTTCAGCCTCCTGAGGGCTGGGATTACAGACATGTGCCACCACATCCAGCTCAGGATAAATGCATTTTTGAAAAAATAGTTCTCATCGCTTCTCAGCCTTTTGGCTAAGATCAAGTGTAAAAAATAGTTCTCAAAGGGCCAGGGATTTAGCTCAGTGGTTCTGCCACCTGCCTCGAAAGCACAAGGTCCCAAGTTCAATCACCGGTACCAAAACAAAAAAAGTTCTCAAAGATGCCAAAGCTCACCCCAAAGACTGTCTCTTCTTCTGGTGGCCCTCTGACACTGGCACTGGCTAACGGAACCTGGATGTCCTGGCGTAACAGGGACAGCACTCGTTCCATCCCTACTGCTAACCACATGGCCTGGGGCCATCACTGTGCTCCTCAGGACACCTGGTGCACTGGCAAGGTGTCCTTTGAGCTCTGGAGTTGGCAGCCCCTAGTCACGGTTTCTGCTGTGTCCCCCTGGATGTCTCCCTCCCAGCCCTGTGGCTACCATTGCCCATGGATCTGTGTGTGTCCACCCCGGCCCTGCTCCAGGCTCCACAATTCCTGCTGCTGCTCTCTCCTTTCCCCACTTCAATCCGCATCCTCCCACATTTTCCAAAGGTTTTCTGCTATACTCCACCTGCAAGCCATGAAGACTGCCAGCTGCTTGGTGCCTGCCACTTCTGCTGAATTTACCTCTCAGGGGACATTTCTGCCAGGAGCCAGTTGCTCAGCTAAGAAATCACCACCTTCCCCGAGGGTCCATGGGTCCCGGGAGCCCCCACAGGTGTTGAAATCTGGATGCTCAAGGCGACAGATGTGCCCGGATGTGTCTTGTACCCTCCCACACCCCCTGCATACTGAGTCAACTGCAGATTAAACACCTGCTACAATCAGCTTATGGAAGTACTTCTGACACTGCGTAGTTTAGGGAATAGTGACCCAAATTGTGTATTTGTTCAATTACAGGTGCAAGTTTTGTTTTTAAAGAGTTCAATCCGAGGTTGATTGTGTGGCTGGAGGCCGAACCCACAGATAGCAAAGGCCACGGTGGAACAGCAGGCAAGTGGCAGGCTGGGGGCCCTCCTGGTGTCCCCAGCCAGGCCAGCTCTCCACCCCAGCTCAGAGTATCGAGATGTACATTGGCTTAGGTTTCTGCTTACATAATTTGAGCATCTGCCAGTCAATTTGGGGCCTCTAGGAAATTTTTGGCCCTGTGGGGTGGCACACACCTGTCTCTGGGAGGCTGAGGCAGGAGGGTCACATGTTTGAGCCCAACCCAGGCAACTAGCAATAGGGAGGCCCCATCTCAAAACAAAAAAATTTAAAAGGGTTGGGGCTGTCGTTCAGTGTGAAGGCCCTGGGTTCCCTCACTACTACCACACACAAAAGGAGAAAAAAAGCAACGTTTTAGAAAGGATTATTTTGCTCCTTATCCAAAAAGAGGTAAGAAGAAACTGAGCCACCATTTGGGGTGGCTTGGGCAGTCGTCACCTCTTCTCTCTCTGTTTCAGGTCCCTCCTTTCCTCAGCAGGGAGCGCTGTGCTGACCCTCCGCTAGCGGTTTCCTGATGGCAGGGAGGACTGTGTCGTCCCCACCCGTGGGCCCTGTCAAGCCCAGCCAAGGAGCCTTCCCTCCCTGTAGAGAAACTCTGTCACAGAGACGGAGAAGAGGCAAGCTCTGGCCCCACTGCCCCGAGTGCTGGGGCTCCCACCCCAGCTCCTGCGCCAGCCCAGGCCCCAGACTCACTTGAGCTTCGTTGCCTCCAAGAGCGGCAGGCAGAGCAAGGCCACTACCATCCACTTCATGATGCCGGTTCCCAGCTGGTCACAGAGGAGAAGACACTGCGTCCCACAGCAACCGTGGAGTGCAGACCTGGGTGCTCCTGGGTCCTTTATATCCCAGGCCCTCGCCCCGACCCCGCCCCCCTGCCCTGGGCAAGCGTGACCCCGCACCTGGGGTTCCGTGGGGCGCAGGTATCAGTGGTTTCTGTGTGTCTTTCCCTCTGGAGTGTGGCCACAATAGACTTTCCATCTTATTGACTTTTCAGTTCAAGCAACGGAGGCCAGGAGGTACAACGATAAGAGGGAACAAAGTGGCTGTGGAGGGGAGAAGGAAAGATTGCTTCTTGTCCAGGAACTTCGTGTTCATCATGCAAAGCCATGATGTGGGCATTTTGGGGAGAAGGGCAAAGATAGGGAGAGCCAGAGAGAAGGGTGTCAGATCATCCGACGTCTGGGGGTAGATGACGCCTGGTCCTGGACACTGTCCCATGAGCTGGAGGACACTGGGCAGCATCCCCGACACCGGCCCACCAGATGCCAGGAGCGGCCCCTGAAGTGTAACGACCAAAAACACCTCCAGGTGTTGCCTGTTGTCCCCTGAGAGGGACAAAATCCTTGACAACTGTGGTCTGTAGGTGACACCCTCGAGGGTCTGATGCAAGTCCTGCCCCCCAGCAAACCAAGTCCTTGGGAGACGGAGCTCAGGGTACCAGGGGTGGTGGTTACAGTAACAGTGGCAGCGAGGGCACTATTAATGGTGCCGGCGATGGCACTGTGAGTCCCGGTGGTGTGGGGATGGGGGAAGCAGTGGCTGAAGTCAGAGTTACTGGGGGCTGCTTTAGAGACTTTTAAGGTCAAACAGGGTGTTTGAAGCGGTCCTTGTTCCAACCAGGCCTGTGCACAGGACAAACACACACACACACACACACACACACACACACACACACACACACATGGCCACCCTGGCTCTGGTTGGGCCTGGAGCAGAGGCCTGAAGAGGTATTGTCACCTCCGCTCCCTCTCCCCCACCTCCTCAACCCCCTTACCCACCCTGCTTCCCAGCGACAAGCTTCCCACACCTAGGTGACCTGCAGCTGGGGCCGCCAACCTGGCCCACTCCTGGGGTAGTAGAAAAAGGCCCCCCCGCCTGCACCCTCTGTGCCATCCTGTGCCCGCACCGAGGGCTCCAAACAGATTTATCATTCCCTTGGGCCCCAGGCAGAGAGCCAGGATCCGACCTGCCAGCCACCACGTTCCCCTGGCCAGTGGGGGATTTTCCACTCTGGCCACTGCCACCCCTGCCCAGCCGGAGCCTCCCAGGCCCTTGGACGGGCAGGGAGGGGGACCCAGAGTTGCCCAGGCCTGGCACGGTGAGAGAAGTCCCTGCCTTCAGGTCCCTGCCAGCCCCAGAAACACACTGAAGTCTGGGGGTGGAGGTAGAAGGTAAGATAGAGGATGTCTTCCCTGAAGTGGGAACACAATTTGGAACAGAAGAAAAAGAAAATTATAGAATCCTTGGAATCTTCCACAGAGCCCTCCAAGTCAGGACTTCTAGGGACCCTTCCTCTCCGATGGGCCAGGCCAGCTGTCTCCAGGCCCCAGTCACACCACATCCTGCCCTGCTCCAGGAATCTGGAGCCTACCTACGCTGACCTTCTGACAGCTCGGGCAGCCTCCTCAGGAACCCCAGACCTCCTGAGTCCTCTGCCACTGTCCCTGCCACTTCCACCCCTCATATCTAGAACACCCACCGTCCTACCTGCCAGGAGTCTCCAGAGCCTGGGGACACCTGATCCAGGGGCCCCCAGAAGCCTGACCCTCTGGTTCCCATCCAAGTGCATCTTCTACCTGGACATGGGACACTCTGATGTCCCACCCATTGCACTGGCCTCACACTGTCCAATTGTTTCCTGGAGGGTATGGGCTTCCTTCTGTGGACTAGAAGCCTTCAGAGGACAGAGACCAAGGTGCTGTACCCTTATGCCTGGCCCAGGGTTCCAGAAATCATGAGCAGTTGATGGAGTCCATGGATGGTTCCTAAAGGGGGCGTGGCTGTACCCTCACCCCAGGATCCCTGTCCTCAGACTTCCACCCTGTACCCCAAGGGATCTCCTGGGGGATCCCCACCAGAAGGGACCTCAGGCCCTCTCTTCAGCTTCTAGTCCCTGAGCTTCACCTGCCCCGAAACTCAAAGGCTCCTGTGGCTAAGTGGACCACACCCAGCATCTAGGACGTGCTGTCAGGTCTCTTCCACATTTCCAAGCTCACCTTCCACCTCTAACCTGTGCAGGTGCCTTGCTTTGTCCCAAGGGGGCACAAGGTCATCTAATGTCTATGCCTTTATCCGTGCCACACCCACCATCTGAAGGACCTTCCCAAGCACTCTCACCCCAAAACCACCTCATTGGCCATTGACAGCACCTCCAGGGTGGAGAACTTTGACTTTCTTCCCCTAATGGCATCATATATCCCAGTGATTTCCCCAAGATCCTACAACTTATAACAAAGAAGAGATCTCTTCCTGCTCTTTAACTAGCACAAAGACTTCCTTCAGAGGGTTCACAAAGTGACATTGGGTACTGGGAGTGACAACAACATAGATAGCATAGATGTGGTTACTGCTTACCCTCTACCCATGGCAGACATCACTAATCTATCCTGTTGTTCTTTCCCACCCTCCGCCCGTGGCAGACATCACTAGTCTATCATGTCAGTCTTTCCCACCATGCTCAGTCCATCAGGAAATGGCCATCCCTCAGTCCTTCAATGTAGGACTTTTTAAAAACATCTGGAGGCTAAATTTTATTTAAAATTCTAAAGCCAGGCATGGTGGCATAGTCCTGTAATCCCGCACTTGGGAGACTGAGGCAGGAACATCACTACAAGTTCAAGGCCAGCCTGCTCTACATAGCAAGTTCAAGACCAACCTGAACTACGTAGTGAAACCCTGTCTCAAAAAAACAACAACAAAAAATTTTATACAGATATCACTTTAAAAAATCAAGGTGGAGCTAGGAATGTAGCTCCGTGGTAGAGTGTTTGCTTAGTATGTGTAAGGTCCCAGGTTATGTCTCCAGTAGAAAAAAAAATTTAAAAAATCAAAGCAACTTGAAAGAACAGTGGTTTGCACCTTTCTAAATTATCTTCCAGCTCGCATTGTGCACACTTTGATTTTAAGGTAACTGTGATCTATGTGTAAATGCAACTTCTGTTCTGCTCTTATCACGCAGACTCCATATGCACTTTTCCGTGAGTTAAGATAGGCACACCTTATCACCTTCACGGTTATGTGGGTGCTATCATCTCCATATCTGGGCTTTCTTGGCCCTATTCATTTGGGTTATTTCCAGTTTCTCACTGCTATCAATAGCACCAGGGCTCGCAAATGAAAACTCATCCCAAGGAGTAGAATAGTGACCCTCCCTTGATGAGGGATGGTGGAGCGGAGGCTAAAGCAGCGCTTTCCAAGGAATCCTGGGAGAGAGTTTGCTTGCAGGGGTTGTGAGATGGGGCCAGGAAGCTGCTTTTTCCCTGTGTATTCTCATCCCTGAGCTTGGCACTTCAGCTCTGGCGACAAGTACTCCATACACCTGAAGTCTATGGCAGGTGTCTTCACGAATTTTTAGTTATGGTTTCAGCTCTTTCTTTTCTTTCCTTGTCTCTTCTTTTCTTTTCTCTTCTTTTCTTTTCTTTTCTTTTTGAGACAGGGTCTCACTGTGTAGCCCAGGCCGGCCTCAAACTCATGGTGATCCTCCTGCCTCAGCCTCCCAAGGGCAGGGATTACAAGTGTGCACTACCACACCTGGCTGAGATTTGTTTGTTGCAAAGTCAAGAGACTATGCTTTTTAAAAGTTTTTGACATAACTCTAGACTTAGACAAGTCACATAATACAGGGCTCCCAGACACATTTCAGTCTGTGTCCCTTAATGTTAACATCTTAAATAACCATAGGGTAATGGCCAAACGCAGGATAATTAACCCTGACACTATGAAGTAATCCACAGATTTTACTTAAATGTCACCAATTGCCACACTAGTGTCCTTTTTTCTGGTCCAGGGTCCAAGCTAGGGTTTTACATTGCATTTAGTTTTGGGTTTTTTTTTTTTTTTTTTTTTTTTTTTTGGGTGGGGATCAAACTTGGGGCCTTGCACTTGGGAGGCAAGAGGCAGAACCACTGAGCTAAATCCCCGGCCCACATTGCATTTAGTTTTCACTTTGGTTTCCTCTAATCTGAGACAGCTCCTGTTTTTCTTTGTTTTTATGGCCTTGCTACTTTTTTGTTTTTTTGGACTGGGGATTGAACCCAGGGCTTTTGCATCCCCAACCCTTTTTTGTTTTGACACAGAGTCTCCCTAAATTGTCAAGTTGCCCAGGCTGGGCTTGAACTTGCAATCCTCCTGCCTCAGCCTCCCAGAGTGCTGGGATACAGGTGTGCATCATCATACCCAGTGACCTTTCCACTTCTTTTTTTGTTTTGGTTTGGGTTTTTTGGTACCGGGGATTGAACTCGGGACCTTGCGCTTGCAAGGCAGGCGGCAGCAGCACTGAGCTAAATCCCCGGCCCACCTTTCCACTTCTAAGCTGCCCTGATCAATTACTTTGTAGACTACAGCACACAGTGATGTGGATGCATTTTATTACTGGCAATTTAACCCTGATTGCTTGGTGAAGGTGAGGTTTGCCAGGTTTCTCTTTGCCGTTAGTAATCAATCAGCATCTTCCTGGAAGACTGTTTGAGACTGTGTGGGTGCCTAGCCCTCCTCTTTTCTGCCCACTAATTTCAACATCCTGCAGTGATTCTGCCTGCAGTGGCCATAGCGCGGTGCTCACTTCATTCCCATCATCCCTCTGTGTCTGAGCTAGGATGCTACTGTGAGGAAGAGCTGGGCTTGAAGCTTTAAAATGGTCTCTTCCTCCCCCGAAACCACTCCTTCCCAGGGGGGCCAGGCAGAGCCCCTCATGACAACCTCCTGCAGAGGAGTCCGTTTATCTGTCTGTGTCTCAGACATCTGGAAATCAATCTGGGTGTGTATAAACAGATAAACAGAAAGATGCTTGTTTGTCCTCTGGTCTATTTATTAAC